ATTCTTGTTTTTATATCTTATATCGCCTTTGTGTATTGCTCATCATATTACCCTATCACTTGTGTAGATTGTTTATTTTACCCTTGTGTTAGTTCATATATCCTTGCTCATATTTTTGTAATATCTCATTGATAGGATATATTCATTTGTTCATATTGCTTATCCTAGCTTACGTATCTTGTTGTATTTTATACTTGCTAGGATAACTTATTAATTAGTTTTAATTGGCATTTAATCGGATTAGATTAGCATAAGACCCTAATCACCCCCCCCCCCCCCCCCAGCGCTCCCCCCCCCCCCCCCCTCTAGGGTCTAACAATACCAAGTTCTTTGGATGCCTTAGACGAATCGGTGAAGACTGAGTCACAAGGGCTTTGCATCATACCTTGGTTTTACTCATGAGAACCATACTAAGGTCTTTGGATACATGGATGGGGCTACTCAACAAAGGCTTGGTGCTCAAGTACCTCTTAAGCTCGGTGAAGGCGCTACTACATTCTTCTATCCACTGTATGTTGTCTATGGACACTTTGGCTCTTCTCAGGACTTTGAAGAATGGAAGGCTCTTCTCGGCTTACTTGGAGAGGAAATGGTTAAAAGCTGCTACTCTTTCGTTTAACTTTTGGATATCCTTGACTACATGAGATTCGGCCAACCCTTCGATTGTAACTATCTTTTGTGGGTTGATTTTGATCCATCATTGGGTGATCATGAACCTGAGAAATTTACTCGACCATAACCAAAGGCGCACTTTGCTAGGTTAAGTTTCATATAGAATCGGCAAAGGATAGAGAAAACTTCTTGATGTCTGCAATATGGGAAATAACATGCTTGGATTGCACTAGGATGTCATCTACATATGCTTCCACATTGTGGCCCGAACTATTCTTTGGAGATTGTGTTGATCAGCAACTAGTAGGTTGCTCGACCATCTTCTGTTATTGGCCACTATCTCTCCAGTTTAAGATGTCTTTTCTTTATCGGGCAGGTTTGTAGTGTAGGTCGATGCATAACACGTGAGCCATTACTTCAGGATCTATTCTTAGCATGTCTTCAAGTCACCTAGCAAAAACATATGTGATTGCGTGTAGGAACTCGATGAAGGGTTGCCTTTGTGGTTCTTGTAGCTCTGACCCAATCATCACCTTTTTGGTTTTTGTTGATGTCGAGCATGATTTCATGCAGTTCTGTGATAGGTGTGGTTCGCTCCCTATCTTTGTCCTTCTATGGTTTAGCTTGGGATTTTTCAATTGGTAGGGTCTCCGAGATTCCCTTGCCTTTCATGGAGAGCATGTAGCATGATCTGACTTTGCACTGATTGCTCCATGCAATACCAACTCCTTTAAGGGTATTGAACTTTACTATCTAATGGTATGTGGAGGGGTTGCCTGAAGGTCATTCAAGGAGATCCTCCTCATGATTAAGTTTGAGGCCAACTTGACATCCATCACAATGAATTAGACTTAGACTATGGACTAGCATGGGTAGTCACTAACAACCATTGTTAGAGTGATCACTACTTCCAACCAAACCGAACACCCGAGAAACCTACAATGGGGCTCGAATACGGTTGGATCTGAGATTTATCAATCTTTATTTGGTTGAAGTCGTCAATGAATAGGACATCTGTGGAACTGCCCATGTCTACCATGATTCGCTTGATTCAAAACGCATTTATTTGCGCGGAAATGAAGATAGGGTCATCATGGAGTGTCATTACACATTTTAATTTGGCATTTTTAAAGGTTATGGACTAATCCACCTTAAGTTTATTTTTTGCATAGGTTCACTTTGAGGGCTCATCGAGCATACCTAGTTGGGGCTTTGTTCGACATCCCTCTGGTGGCTAGACAGCCACTGATGGTGTTGATGGTGCCTCTATTGCCACTCTTCTTTGGCCGGCCTCTCTACTGATTCAGTCGGGATGACCATGATCTTCTTCTTTCTGGTTTATCTAGGTTTGACCCTTCCTTGTTGCAGTTGTCGGTGAACTTCTTGAGCAATCCTTTTTTGATAAGATCTTTGATGTCCCTTTGTAGGACTCGATAGTCATCTATGTCATGACTATAGTCTTTGTTCTAGTGAAAATACTATTTAGAATTGATCTTGTGAGGATCTGAGGTCATGTGGGGTGGGTGGGTTTGGTAAGATATCCATCCCGCTAGATTTGGTGTGGACTTATGAAAGGGGACATTGAGGAGAGTGAAGGCAGGTCCCCTCATCATATCCTTTCGCGCGTCCCTTCTCTTATTCCTTCCATCATCCCTCTTATTAGGCCTCCTAGGTCTGGAGTTGGGTTCAGATCAATCGACTTCGGTCTTCTTACTCCCAAAACTACTGCTCAGGCCGGTTTTTTGTAGATATGATTATCTCTATATCCGGCTGTGATTAGACTCTAGCCATCAGTTGATCAAAGTAGGCTAGCAGATTCATTGTGAGTGAGCCCGACAGATTCTCATCTTCTAGACTCACGATTATTGTGGCCATCACCACCATGTTACCAAGGTCATCCACTTCCAGTTGTTTATCTTAGAATCTTTAAAGTATTCTCGGAGGGTCTCACCTGATTTTTACCTGATTTATAGTAGAAGGACGGAGGGTGCCTTCTTCTTGGTGTCCGCTAAGAAATAGTGATGAACTTTTGAGAGAGTTGTACGTAATTATGGATGGACCTCCTTTCTAGGGAGTTCCACCACACATTAGCACTGTCGCTGAGTGACAAAGAAGGCCCTATATATGAGTGGGTTTGTCACATGTTGCATGCATATTAAATCAAAGAAGTTGTGTGCATGCTCGGCTAGGTCACCTTTGCCTTTGTACTTCTTGTACATGGTATCTTGAGGCAGGTGTGGTCCATAATACTATCAGAGAGGGAAGTGTTCCCTCCAATGATGTCGGCAACCATGTTAAAAGTCTGATTATAACTGGAAGTCTAGCTGGCTATAGTTGCTAGGGTCTTGGTTGCTTAGGTGTATCTCATTCCTAGTGATGTAGCCCAGGGTCATGATTAGGGTCATGACTTGTACTTTGGCAATGTCATGTCCCTCTGTCGAGGGATCTGTCGAGTATTCGTGGTGAAGCGGGCTTGGTGGCGCGGCAGTTGAGGAGTGGTCCTCATAACTCGCTCTTCATCTCCCTACGATTGTGACTGCTCTCCTGGCATCAGAATGGCAGATCATAGAGAGTTTTGAAGAATTGGAAGGCAGTCAAGGAGTTCATTCATGAAGGAGTGAATTGATGTTAGAACGACTGTGCTAACTTCTAGGAGGACTCATCCAGCTAGGTTTGAGTGATAGCCATCGGCGGAGGACTCTCTAGGTGTACTTAGGTTAGAGAGCTGAAAGCGGTTAGGATTAGCCCATTTTTCTAGAGAAGAAAAAGCTATCTTGTTGTAAGCAACAAACTATTTATGTTGAAAAGTTGATCTCGGGATTGAAAAGAGATTAATAAGGAATTAGGAGGCCCTTAGTTTTCTCTGATGTTTGATCAAATTGAAAAAGGCAAATCCTTATGCAAACAACCATAAGAGGCCCTAGAGGAGCTTTTCTCCAGCATGTCAGTGACTAATCAAATCAATGTGAAGAATATTAGAATGGTTTTAATGTTTAGAGCATTCAGATCTCAAAATGGTGAAGATCTCTTATGTTTTATATAGGGTATCGAGGGTAGATCGGTAATTTGACTCAGCCCATGGAAATGGTACGTCATTTGCGCTTTATCTTTGTCAATGATTGATTGGGCCAAAATGGTGAAGACCTCTTATGTTTTATATGGGGTATCGAGGGTAGATCGGTAATTTGACTCGGCCCATGGAAATAGTACTTCATTTGCACTTTACCTTTGTCAATGATTGATTGGGCGATCTTGTGAGAATCGCCCGTACCACATTTAATATGATAGTGACAGAATGACGAGGTTTGGGCACTGTCCGAGGAGTCATTATCACATCTGATGTGCATTTAATGCGATGGCGGTAGGGCAGCGAATATGGGTGATGCCCAAGAAGTTACCTCACACCTGATCATGTGTAAACTACGAACTCCTTCAACGTGAAAGTCGGACACCCACTTGACTTATGACATGTGCTCTTTGGTGGGGTTCCACACGAGGACGCCTCGCGATCCTAACTGGGATTATCAAAAGGGTCAGACAATTTAGTTAGATTGTGGCTATACCGGGGTGGGTCTTTGATCATATGACCCGACCCTCTTGACACATGGCCGGTTCTTACGGGTTCGTTAAGAACATTATGATAGGAAGGGCATTTCACCCCGTGAGAGGGTCAAGCTTAATTTCCTTATAAAGTTTATTGATTGGGTGATAGTGTGTAACTACTAGTAAATACTCAATTTTGTTAAATGAATCTATGCACAGTGATTCTAAAGGGAGGAGAGGGTTGAGGCAAGGTTATGCGCTCTTTCCTTATTAATCATTTGCATGGAGCATCTCACTAGAAGTTTTGAAGATCTATAGAAGCGCATGGGGTTCAAATTCCATCCAAAGAAAACACCGCAAAAAATTGATAAGATACGTAGCAAACTCATCTGTGGGGGAGAGAGAGCATCAGACGTACTTCTTCTCTTGGCATAAAATATGTTCACCTACGGATCAAGGAGGCTATGGCAAAGGCAGAGAAACGGAACGTAGTGACAATGGTACTAAACTAATCTTGTCAGTGCATGAGAAAGATCACTTGTAAATTAAATGGATCCATGGACATTACCTCAAAAATACTACACTGTGGGGTTTGCAAGCAAGGAGCGGAGATTCATGGTTCTGGCGAAAACTACTGCATGTTAGAGACTGGTTGTTGAGCAACTGAAGCTCAACGGATCAGATGTTGCAGCAGGTGAAAAAACTGGAAAATGCTAGAGAAGAAGTTATCCTTGGTAAATAGAAAGCTATTCAGTTACCCAAGAAGGGGGCAAAAAAGTATGGTGTGTATTTTCCGAGAAAATAAGACTATAAATGATGGATCACATGTTAAGATGGGCTTTGAATTGGTTTCAGCTCCTTCAAGCATTCAAAACAGCCTGCATTAAAATAGAGATGGATGGGATTTGAATCCTGAACTCATACAGGAAACGCCTGGTCCAGCCAAATCTTTCCTCTTCTAATTTCACAGGTTTTCCTCTTCTAATTTCACAGGTATAAAAGAGAATTGAAATTGAATATTCAACATCCTACTTTAGCTAAATAATATTCAGGTAGGATGAACAAACTCATCCATATACAGTTGCAGTTGTCAGCAATATGGCTCATGGTACGTTGGAGATGGAGAAATATGAAAGCATATTTAGCTGCATCTCATGTAAAGTTTTTGCAGTTGGGCAAAGGAAGAATGAAGATACTGTCATTATATCACCAGCCCATCTGGAATTGTTGAGTTCTTCAATATGACAGTAACTCCTGATCGAATATAGAAGCCTTCCGAAGATCTGTCAGCCTCCTGTACTGCCTGCATCCACACATAGTCGAAAGGGCAAAAAAAATCATTCAGAAAACAAACAAGGAAAAATTTTGTCTGCATGAAACAACAATTAACTTCTCATATGATTTTCAGATATGTTTCTGAAGGGTTAAAAGCTCTGATACTATGGTTTTTCACTCGATATGCTATTATGCTGGAATGTACATTTAGAGTCAAAACCTGAAATCTTTTATAGGATCAAAATCATTCAGAAACAAACAAGAAAAAGAATCCAATTGCATGAAGCGACCATAACATCTTATACGAAAGTAGTCAATATCTTATTGAAGGAATGAAATCTCTGATATTATGATTTGGACTGTACATTGTAGGGTCAAAATCTGAAAATCTTTTACAGATATATTTTTATAGCCACACATTATATATGGTTAAATGTAACAAAGGTTTGAGATCATACATCTGAGTTTGTGATTGTCACATTCTTTCCTATCCTTGCGTTCTTGTCAATGATGCATTCCCTGCAAGCGAGAAATGAGATCAAATCTCTTAAGGTCGACATGGAGATCAAGTTAAGAATTACTAACAAGAAGATAAAAATACTTACTTGATCTTCGTATTCTCTCCGATTCCAATAGGAACCCTACCTTCAGCTAACAGTGATGCTACTTCAACATCTGTTTCGTAGTAGTCAGCACCGAGCATCACTGTGTCCTGTATTACGTGGTTTCCCCAAAATGCTACCACATAAATGAATTAATGGAATTAAAAACATTTTTTCCTGTATGAAGAAGCAATTAGAATAGAAGATTTAACCTTTAAGTGCACGTCAGAATTTATTCGTGATCGAATACCAACAACACTATGATCTATGAAGCAGTTGTTCAAGAACGTTCCGTGAGAGACAATCGAATCAACAATCTGAAAAATAGATATACAAATCATACAGTTACATATTCCATGTGAAATTACACAAACTGATTAAATAAGACTAGAGAGGAATTTAGTCTGATACAATGTAACATGGAATGGGGGGAAAGGAAAAATAGTTTTAAGCAACATATGTCATGGAAGAAAGGTAGTCACAAGGCAGTTAGTACATGAGCATAATTTCTCTGATATAAAAACAATGTGTTTTGTACAATAATAAACTAACTAATTTCTGAATTTTAACAAAGATAAACCCTCATGGAAGTATATGATTGAAACAGCAATGATAAAACTTTATACTTTCATCCTTTCAAAATCCATATTAACTTCCCCAAATGTAGATTAAATTAAACAACAAAGGATAGGAACTCTGAAACTTGTGCAGGGAGTATACATTTTTTTATCACACTATAGTCAGCATAATTCTGAATGGAGTTGATAGGGTGCTTTTCAATACAGTGACTCTGCTAAGGGTGGTCACAAGTTCAACTTATGCAATCATAAAAATTAAAAGAAATTTTCTATTGTTTGGGGAGAAAGTATGACCTATTCCAACTTATTGCTTATAGAAAAGAATATGCTACATGTATCATTAAGATCCAAGGAGTCTTTCTTTAGGGCATGAAAAAAGAATGTTTAGAGATTTATTATTTAACATATGAGCAACGTTCATCGTTAGTAAGTCTCCTTTTTGCAGCATGACAGGGAAATACCTTGTGATTGGTCCAAGAAAACACCAAAGATTTAGATTAATGATACGTTAAAATCATCTGAAAAGCAAAGGATAAAGATGGCCAACCTTGCTGTTATCAATTTTAGATGGCGGTAAGTTTCTCCGAGATGTATACATCGGCTTTGCAGCGTCATAGAAGCTGAAGCTTGGTGGCTATGAAGATAATAAAAAAAAGACCATACAGGTTATATGTGAACCAGAAGAGAAAAGAACCATATAAACATATATTGTCAAATATCATAGAAAGGAATTTGCATATTCATGTGTATATACCTGCCTTTCCACCACAAATTGAGCAAAAGAAGATTAAAGCATTTCTTGGCAAAGCCAGAATACAAAAGATTTTGCTAATACTATCTTCTACAATTTAATAAACGGTAGCATGGGCAACAAACTGGCCACTGATTCAAAGTGGAAAATTCATATAAATAAGGAACAATTAATTGATTAAAATTAGTAGAAGTAACTTGATAAAACTTCTGGTGATTGGAAGTCTTGAAAACAAAATGCGCCACACAGATTGGTAGTACGTGAGTAGTTGGAAAATACACAGATTTGTAGCATGTGAGGACATGGAAAATACAGAGGATTTTGTTCAAGAGCTTTTATGCTCTGAAAGTCTGGTCAAACTTTCATCACTGTTAACGTATAATATTAGAGGTCCATATGGAAGGCACGAGACACCGCACATGCACGCGAGGCACTACCGTCCAATCCAGTTCACCAACTGCCTTTTGACAAGATAGGTGACACCCTGGGTATCATTGGTAACCATCTCTTGTGTCACCTCCATTGCAGTAAAGGAAAATCTCAGTAAGAGTTGCCCAGAGCTGCCTTCCCCTCTGTCGTATAACAACCAACCCTATCACATGGCACTCAAAGAGCAGGTTCCTTTCCTAAATCCCAAATCCTCTCTTAAAATGGAGAACAATGACAATGAGTAGGAGTTTGTTCCTGAGAGGATTAAAACCTGATCCAGAGCCAGATTCAACAGTAGCGAAGAGCTGGAGGAAGACGAGTCACAGTTAGACTGGAAACTGAATGAATTTTACCTGTTCGAATGCCAGCTATGTGAATCCTCTATCACCTCACAGAGAACTCTTCAATAACATTAGGTGTTCATAATTGTATTTGTTTAAAATTATCCAATTCGAACCTTCGAATATCCATATCTGAAGTTTTTCGAATTCAAACTCGAATTGTTGGTATCTGATAAATATTCATGAATATTCACAAATATTTATCGAATATCAAAGTAAATTCATTCCATTAAAGAATTTGATTTTCAAATAGAATTTAAATTCATAAATGGAAATTATTCCTTTATAATATATGATGTACATATACTTAATTCAAAATTTTCATTAGAAAACTGATATAAGATTATTTAAGTCTCAAATTTAATATATGAAACTTAAGTAGATATGATAAGTGGGTTGAAAATATAACATCATGTGTAATAGTACAAATTATAAGCCAATCAAATTTTAAATGAATATTATATATGCAAACAAATCGAATATATATCTTGTTAAATTCTATTCGTTAATGAATTTGAATACTAAAAAAAAAATTTTATTGTTTAATAAACTACCGCATCGATATAACCAAATAATTACTCAAACAATTAACAAACTATTTGTTAATTATTTGGTTCGTTTCCACCCCTAAATTGACCATGTCTTGCCCCACTGACAGTATGGTGAGAAGACCTCTTGATAAGAGTTGACAGAGGGCTACCTCCCCTTCTGTCACATTGAGCCAATCCTAGCACATCGTACTCAATGAGTGGCTCCCTTTCCACCGAAGTCAGTAGATTTCCATCAGAGAAAATAATTTGGATGATCTCACATACTTAAGAGCCATATAGGTATGAGATCTCACACAGTTAAGAAGCATAGAGGAATGAGAACTTAGCTTAACTCTTCGTAAACCAAGTTTGTAGTTTTACAATATATCTGTCACCTACAAATCACTAAGCATCAAAGAGGTTTGCCTTGGACCCAATCCTGGCCCCTTGACCTGTTCATCATGAACGCAGGATGTCTGATCATCAGAGTCCTACGTAAGAAGAACGAGCTGACTCCACACTGGACAGCATCTCCTCTACAACCTCAACTTGATAATCATCATCATCATCCGACTCAACCATCCAGGTTCTGCAAACTGGATCTTGACATCCGGAAGGTACACAGCGTGCCCTTTATTCTTTGCAGAACAATAGGAAATTTGATGATTGCGCACAAAAGAAAGGACAACAATAAACAACACCCCTTATCACCTCTATTACAAGAAATCAGACTCAATAAAGAGTTAAAGACATGCAATAGGAGACAACCAGAGTGAAAGATTGACCAAAACTCCTGAAAACTTATCCTACCATTGTGACAAAAAAGAGTAGGCGAGAACACAAAATAAGTGTAACCAATTTTGCACTTTTTACGGGATGTAATAGCTTAGAGCTATGGTGAATGGTGAATTTAGCATACAAAAATCGAGAAATGCATTTCTGACTCTCGTTCCAATATAGGGCAACAGGGAAATCATGCGAGTTAACAATAAATCATGTTGTTCCATAATTAAGTTTTAAATGAGGATATAATCTATGTGAAGAAATTGTGTAGTGTCATATGCAACATGCACTCAGATATAGTTATTAGAACATGAAAATCAAATTAAGATGACACATGGAATAATGAAATAATACTGACCTTAAAATAACTAAATCCAGAAAGAATGAAAAAAAAAACTGTCAATTTTAATGCATGTTCATGGAGAAACCAGAACTCAAAAGTTTTTCATCACTAATAGATTCAGTTTATCATCATTAATAGATTCATACTATTATTTTCAAAGAATTAAGTTTTATAGTAATCAGAAAGACAGTTTTGTCCATATTTCATTATGATATTAAAAAACATGAAAGAATTTTATAAAAGAAAACTAGGCTAGATATCTGCAAGAGTATGGGGAAAAAATAACATCATGATTTGACTAAATGACCATGAAGGAAAAATCTTTGACCAACTTGACCTAACGAACTTCTAGCATCGGCTGTTTTTTCCTGGACATAACCAAAAAATATCAAGCTCTTCTTTCTTATAACAATTAATACCTGCCCATAATACACAGGAAGTGCTTTTCATGTCCAACATAAAGTCAAGATCATTTTACAAAAACAAAAACTTACATGAGCAGTGAGGGCAAGGTTTGCTTCGAAGAAAGATCTAATAGTCCCAATGTCCTCCCAATAATCATTAAATAGATATGCCTGAAGACAGAAAAGTTCCATTATGACCTTAACAACAAGAAAGTTCAAGATGATGTCTTCATTTAACCCATTGGATAACCATGACGAGTTAAGAAAGATCATCCTATCAAAGTTATTGATAGTAGCTATTGTGATTTAAGACATACTAGAACAGAAAAAATCTAGTTCATCTAGAATATCAGGTTGTGACTTTTTCTCTAATAAGAAATAGAGGGGCTAATTAGGTAGGTACATCAGTGTATCACCTAGCAGAATTCGTCATCGAAATACTATGTATAACATATACAATCATGGAGACTATCCCTTCCATATATTATATCAAATTTACGACCTAATAAAAACACATGAACATAGATGCCAAACAGCAAGATATATCTTCCATATGAAAAGAGGTATGATTTTCCACAACATAGATGTCACAAGAAACGAATAGAATGACTCATTTTGTGGCAAATAGAATGTCTCACAGTTACAATATATCACAAAACCTATGGAGTTCCTCTGTTCACGTCATGTACTCAATGACAGATTTATGGTTCTAGGGGATACTTTGGGATATGCTTCAGAGGGTGGTTAGAGGTATTTCAGGTGCTTGATCTTTTGGTCCATGTGAGTTCATAATTTGGGGTGCCTATATGATATTGATCAGGTTCCAATGTATGATATTGATCACCACTGCAGAAAGCCTAGTATGTGTTTTATTGGTTTGAATGGACCATAAAAAGACACTGTCTTTTAACCTAAACTTTATGTACATGTGTGTGGGTATAACTGATGCAAGTATTGAGGCTCTGGCTGATTAAAATGAGTTAAAGAACTTAAATAGGGATTATAGCATACTCGTATATTGTTAATATAAGACTTCTCCATTATGACATGGAGGTCATGGATTCAAGTTGAAGAAACATCTCATTCCCAATTTGTGGAGGCATATATCTAATCTGTGTATGTGGATGTCACAAATGTAGAAGCCTCAGCCAGTAGGCTGCCCTGATAAGTAATTATATTAATATTTTGTTCTAGTAGTAAGCCTTTTAATCTCATTTTTCTACTGTTGTCATATGTTCGTTTGTTCAGACCTTTCCTCTTACTGACATCTCCTATGAACTTTTTCTATCAACTGGGTTCTTTGAATTATGACAGAAAATCAGGAAGGCTCAAAACTAATATCATTACTGTTAGATTAGCTGGGTAGTAATTTATGGTATTTCTCGCTTACCAAAAGATTTTTTTACCTTGCAATTTTCATTGTAGCCCAAGTTTCCTTTCCCCTATTTAAAGATGTGAGGCATCTGTAGTAAAATCATATTGGTTTCTTTCCTTTGACATGGCTTCTTGCACCTAGAGAGACATCTTTCTTTCTTCTTCAACCTTGGGATCACTGAGGGGTTTTATCACCTCCATGCTTCTCATTGGCAGCTTCGACAAAAGCTTCCGCTTCAACGCCTTTGACTTCGATCCAAAAATCCTAACCTCAAAAAAAGCCAAATAATTACAACACTGATCATCGCAGTACTGTTCGCTACACTAACCCCATTTTCATCTTTTGGTGGTTAGATGCAAAAAGTATTTGATTCCAGTGTTGTTTCTTCTAGCAACCCGCCTAGGGTTTCTACTGGCTGCTCTGGAAAATCAGGAAGGCTCAAAACTAATATCATTACTGTTAGATTAGCTGGGTAGTAATTTATGGTATTTCTCGCTTACCAAAAGATTTTTTTACCTTGCAATTTTCATTGTAGCCCAAGTTTCCTTTCCCCTATTTAAAGATGTGAGGCATCTGTAGTAAAATCATATTGGTTTCTTTCCTTTGACATGGCTTCTTGCACCTAGAGAGACATCTTTCTTTCTTCTTCAACCTTGGGATCACTGAGGGGTTTTATCACCTCCATGCTTCTCATTGGCAGCTTCGACAAAAGCTTCCGCTTCAACGCCTTTGACTTCGATCCAAAAATCCTAACCTCAAAAAAAGCCAAATAATTACAACACTGATCATCGCAGTACTGTTCGCTACACTAACCCCATTTTCATCTTTTGGTGGTTAGATGCAAAAAGTATTTGATTCCAGTGTTGTTTCTTCCCCGCCTAGGATTTCTACTGGCTAACCTGCCTAGGATTTTGACTAGCCTCGATATGGGTTTATAGGACTTGATTCCTAAGTCGATAGTCTCCTCTACTGCTTCGGCTGTCTATTATTGATCACAAAAGCGAGAATTTTCTTGTGATCTTTATATAACTTTATTCGTGCTCCTCTTGTGCTCGAGTTATCTTTGGTTGCTTCATTAGAGTTCATTCATCTAGATATTTTGTTCTTCTGTGTAACAAGCTGGACATATATATTATATATGCTCCCCCTTGAAGTGGTGTGTTAGATTAGATGGCTAGTTATTTATGATATTTCTTGTTTACCAATATTCTTTACCTTGTAACCCAAGTTTCATTGTAGCCCAAGTTTCATTTCCTTTCCTCTATTTAAAGATGTGAGGCATCCATTATAAAATCATCTTAGTTTCTTTCTTTGACAATTACTATACAAGTTAACAATTTCCCAGACCAAGTAACTAAAGATAAGACTGCCTTATAACATTGAAGGCTAGTCAGCCGGAAGGTAAACCAACCGTTCATGGTCCTGCAGCTTGAGTTCATGCAATAAGGAGTAGAGTCCTAACTCTGATAATATGAAAAAAGGTGGGACTAAGAGGTAATTGACAAGGTCTGTCATATAGAATCATCATATTTGGAATGTGAGAGGAGTTAAAAGGTTCTTGATTATTTGTGCAAGCAAATGATGTTCAGATATCCAAAATAAAATAATGTAAGAAAATGTATCTGCGAAAAATGACATTTACTAAGGCAAGAAAATACTGGAAAAGATGGCTATCATGTGAGGATCACATCCATATTTCAAGGCGCAAAATATCAGTTGAAGATTTTCAATGATTCAATCCAGAAATGTCAGGGTTAGAAGAAACTTTCTACATAAAGTTTAGGAGTGCAACCATAATTAGAAATGAAGCTATCATTAAACATCACAGGAGTACAAACAAAAGATCAAGTTCTCTATTTGATTAACAGTTAAGGAGATAATTAATCTACAACAGACCTTGGTAAAGTATTCTCTTGCAGAAGCCGGAATTATTTCAGATCCAAAGTCATTTGCCGTAGGAAAACGCCATCTGGCCCAACAATGATGCATAACACTTAAAGTTCCTGCTTAAGTTTGCTTTCTATATTTTACTGAAGGTGAGTGCCTTAACACACAAAAAAAAGGAACCTACATTTAGAATCTAAAACTAAAAAATTCTGCTAGTAGCATGTCATTTAAAGTAGCACTTGGTTATGTTGTTAATTTGAAAGCGTGAGGAAAAAAACATAGAGAAATCATCAACGATTCACATGGTAAAATTTGTTTGACAAAATTAAGACAGGACATGAGAAAAATAAAATCTTATTTTAGCACATGTAAATTAAAAAAAACATATCAGAAGCCTATCAGTGATTAAAAATCAATAGATTATAATATGATGGTCTTATGTTAATAAAATTACTCATAAGCCATTCATAACTGATGTTTCTACCATATTTAAAGTTAAAAAAAACTCAAAGGCCTTGAATTTTGCTTAATATCACCTTCCATCACAGTCCAGAGGTGTATTTTTCTTTTCTCCTGGGTATACTTCAAGCCTATTTCAATAGTGTTATACTTGCATAAATTTATTCTAATACTATAATTGTGATACAGAAAGCACATAACTAATGCAACTGAATCTACTTTCAAGATACTGAAGTATCACAATGAGGTATTATAATTTGTACATGAATATAAGAGCTGTACCTCAGAATATTTAGAAGTATCTCTTTCTTGAACAGATACACTCCCATAGAAGCTATATATGGTTTCTTTTCTGCTTCCTCTCTTGACAACCCCAGGACAGTAGTGTCAACAGCCTATAATAAAATAATTCACACAACATCACGAAATAATTGCTGATCTGAGACTCATTAGGCTGTCAACTACATAATATTATAATGATATGTACCATAGCCTTCAAGTCATTTCCTTTCGGCTTTTCACTGAATGAAGTGACCCTTCCTTTGTTGTCTATCTTCATTAAACCAAAATCGGATGCACGACTTACATGAAAAAGAAAATAATTAGATTTGCAATTGACATAATAAGGATCATAGTGTCTATAACTTGACAAATATAATGAATCAATGTGACAGCTTTATACACATAATATCTCTACTAATAAGAACCTTGAGCAGATATCAATAAATTAAGATACATAATGGGATATAATCTAAATCTCTACATACAAGTGGGGGAAAATTTCATCCGAGGGAACATGAGTTTAGGGGTGATGGTCGTTTGAGCAGGTAAATGATTATTTAGACTCTTCAGACACAAAAGCGAGAGAAGGTATAAATCAACAAGGAAAAATGGGTTCCTAGCTATGATGAATGAAAGTATGCATGCTAAAACCATGTAGCAACTACCAGTTCTCATATTTTTATATTTTCTTTTCCTTTATTTTTATCTTGGTCTCTGTAAGTCCTTATATTATACTTAATTTGAACAGAGACCACAAATTTACTTTTTCCCTCAGAATTCCTCAGACCACAAGTCGCTTGAAATCACCCCTACAATTAATATATCCTCAGATTTGTGTGCATGTTTTTGTCCTGAAATAGGTAAAAATACCTGTCATCCATAGGTAGACATGAAATGGTAATGTCCGCACCATTTTGACGATGATTCTGGAGATGAAGCAAGTTTTAGTGCTAGTATCTACGATCAACATGATCAATGATTTTTATTCAATACTTTCCTGAACAAAATCCATGTAGTCCATACGATAGAGATGATCTCCTGAGAGAATTAGTACATCCTCAATTCCCTTATTTCTGGCATCCTGCAAAGGTACAATTTACACACTAAAATTAACACACAGTTGGATGTGTGCGCACACGCGCATGTGCCACACAACAGATGTTGATTAATTATTTTTTAAGAATCAGGTTTTCCAAAGGATTTCCAATAAAAGATTAAACAGGAATTGAATCAAGAACTTTTTGTGCTTGGTTCACACAACTTTTTGTGCTTGGTTCCAATAAAAGATTTTGATTAATTATTATATATATATATATATATATATGACTAATTCATTTGCATAGGTGCTACATAACACTTAGCAAATCAACCTTATTTATTTATTATTGGTGATTCTACTACGATCTAAGTAGAAGATTATCGTGCAAGAGATATATATATATAAGCTGACTAATTCATTTGCATAGGTGCTACATAACACTTAGCAAATCAACCTTATTTATTTATTATTGGTGATTCTACTACGATCTAAGTAGAAGATTATCGTGCAAGAGATATATATATATAAGCTGACTAATTCATTTGCATAGGTGCTACATAACACTTAGCAAATCAACCTTATTTATTTATTATTGGTGATTCTACTACGATCTAAGTAGAAGATTATCGTGCAAGAGATATATATATATAAGCTGACTAATTCATTTGCATAGGTGCTACATAACACTTAGCAAATCAACCTTATTTATTTATTATTGGTGATTCTACTACGATCTAAGTAGAAGATTATCGTGCAAGAGATATATATATATAAGCTGACTAATTCATTTGCATAGGTGCTACATAACACTTAGCAAATCAACCTTATTTATTTATTATTGGTGATTCTACTACGATCTAAGTAGAAGATTATCGTGCAAGAGATATATATATATAAGCTGACTAATTCATTTGCATAGGTGCTACATAACACTTAGCAAATCAACCTTATTTATTTATTATTGGTGATTCTACTACGATCTAAGTAGAAGATTATCGTGCAAGAGATATATATATATAAGCTGACTAATTCATTTGCATAGGTGCTACATAACACTTAGCAAATCAACCTTATTTATTTATTATTGGTGATTCTACTACGATCTAAGTAGAAGATTATCGTGCAAGAGATATATATATATAAGCTGACTAATTCATTTGCATAGGTGCTACATAACACTTAGCAAATCAACCTTATTTATTTATTATTGGTGATTCTACTACGATCTAAGTAGAAGATTATCGTGCAAGAGCTGGTTACCCCAGTATATTACAAGTGTTCCTTAGTTTCCTTATTTCATACTTAACAGACTATGAGATGACCTGGTTCAAAGGTTATCGATAGCGGATAGCGTTGCGTAGCGATGAGGCATCGCTAAGGTTATTTAGGGCTATTACGACAAAATAACGATAAAAAGCATAAAATCAAATAGCAGTCTAATTTAGATATGTATAAATACTAAAAAAAAGATTAAAAATCTTAAAATATATATTTGATGATTTAAAGAGATCCTAAATATGAAATAGACATGTAACCATCACGTAATACTGAAGATGACTGGAGGAGTCAAAGAGTCGTCGTCTTTGAGAAGAAGAGCTGAACGGTAGAGGACTGTCCTAAGAGGAGCTCACGGTGAAAGAGGTGGGAGGAAGTACTGAGGTAGATGCCAGAGACTATGAGATGTGGTAGGAGTATGTCGAAAATCACAGGAGATGGTGGAATGCAATGGTCAAGGGTCGGGTTTAATTTTTAAAAAATAAACCCCAAACCGCTTTTAAATAGTAGTAAAAAAACAGATTTCGCATGCGATTGTCCACTATTTACCGTTATGGTACACTATTGACCGCTTTTGCAAACAAAAAACGTATATTCCGTAATATGTCACCGCTATTGAGCGATAGCGTAGCAGGAAGTGACCGTTAACGCTATTAGAGCCGTTATTGCGGGGCTATTTACCGTTATTTATAACAGTGGTCCAAGTGCTTATAGTATTGTAAATTACCACAGGCCCAAAGTTATGTGCAATTCATGCTATAACTCAATATTTTATGGTCAAGAATTGCCAAGACGGCCATGATTCAAGTACCCCACTGTTGGGTTCAAATCAGCTCTACTAGAGACTAGAATAGAAAAGAATATAATGGAGAGACATCAAGGTTTATGTGGTTCGGCCTAAGCCTATGTCCACGGACAACATGACAAGTAAATTTCCACTATCAAATGATAGAAATACAAGAGAGTGTCACACCCTCTACAATCTATGGAATCAAACCCTTCTTCTACCCATCCACAATGTGTTTGACAAGCCACACGCCAGTAACAATTCATAGAATTCCACTAGAGAAGAACAATTGTAGAGGAATTAGATCCAAGATCAATATCCTGGATGACTCCCTTACTTGCAAATGACAACACCCTCCTCCTTTTATGATGTGAAGCGAGTTCATCACCTCATTAATTCTTCAATTTCCAAGGCAACACTCAAATTTCATTTAAGTCCCCAATTCCAACGTGATATTCTAGCTCCCCATTAATTCATTTGATAAAATCATTATTTGATATTAACCCCAACACTCCAACTAGGAAACCATAGATATCTCCATATTTAGAGAGTTCTCATCTATTTGCTTTGATATGTTGGAAAACTAAACCAAAACTAGGTTCTCACATAACCTGACTTGACACAAACTTCCATCCATATCTGGCAGTACCTAAAAATGAGGCCATACCTAAACAAAGTATAATATGAAGTAAGTTATGCGTACTTTTGACAAAAGCTGTTTTGTTTTTGCAGATTAGTTTACTAAAAGTGCAACTTTCATGCAACTTAGCACATAAAATTATGCGTCAATTATACGTGGATTTAGATGAAATAATCATTTTTTAACATTTCCTCCTGTCTGCAGTGTGGACAATTACCAGGCTTGGCACCGGTATCCATTTTAGAGTAAAACTTGTGGGTCCACATCTACAAAGTTAGCTATTTTTGCAGGCATCATACCAAATATGCAAATCTACAAAGACATGCAGAGTATATTAATTGTCGGTACATAAAATAGACCTTTCATCATCATGGAAATGCTTTTTTTCCCAGTTATATTGATTAGCTCCAAATGTATCCATTCTCAAAAAGTCTATTAATTGTTGGTACATAAAATAGACCTTTCATCATCATGGAAATGATTTTTTTTCCAGTTATATTGATTAGCTCCAAATGTATCCATTCTCAAAGTCAAAACCTTTAGCAAATTATATTGATTATTATCACATCAAATCGTTATTTCCAGCATAATTTCTCCAGATCATAGTTACATGGAACCTAATTCATTCCGGTTCATGGGACGGCTATGGAAGAGTAGTACGCCAGTCATTAGAAATCGGATACGGGGTAGACATGGTAATCTAGGAAACATGGTATGTATTAGCCTCGGTTCTTAAATGTAGGAATCAGAGGTATTGCAATAGTCAAATTTAAGAAATATGCTAGTTGGTATCAGTAATGGAAAAAGAAACTTGAGTATGTTGCAATTAAAGTATGCATGCAATATTTGCTTAATTTTTCACGTTTTTTGTTGTTTATTCTATTGAAAAAGAGTTGCTGTTTGTCAAAATTTTGACTAGTTTGAATTCTAAATCGGGTCTCTAGAGTCGGGGTCGTGTTCACCATGAATCTGGAATGATTGAACTCAGGTCGCGGTTCGCTATAGTGTCTCACGTTCCCGACTTCTGTGCTCCAGATATCACTCAAACAATGAAAAGTTAGGGAATCATATTATAGTTTCACATCACATTGCCTTTTTCTACATGTCAAACAAAACATGCAAATATTGGGAAGTAAAATTAGTTTCAAATCAAATATAGAAATGTATGAGTATAAAACTTGAAATACACGTTCCCAAATCTGACAACAAAATTGATATGCCTACACACTAAAATGTTGTAGGTAGTTTAACAAAAGAATCTATATGAAAACTAAAATATGAGGAATCACATACCTCAAAAAGCCAGTGAAACTGCCGAACAGCATCTGCGGTACCTTGAAACCAACTCTTTCCAGCCTCACCGGGAGTCTGAGTAGCTGCTAGCACCTGGAATCAAACAAAATAAAGAGCTGCATTTTCAATCTCTACAGAAATTGAGATCTCAGTTCAGGTATATTAGGAGTCACTCCCACAAAAATGAATCTCAACTTTGCAAAAATAGCGATGGGCTACTTAAGAAATTTATGTTGATTCTCAAAAGCAAAGGAGTGTTCAGGTGTA